ATATTCATTCAGTGTGTTGCAACAGTAAAAAAGGTTGAGAAACACTGGTGTATAGGAGGCAAATATGGTAACTATTAAAAAATATCAATGTTCGTACCATAGTTGTCATATCAACAAACCGTCCATAAAGCTAAATAAATCTAAGCTTTTATAAACCACGATAATATCTATACTACTAATATGAGAATCATTAAATTTACCATATTTTTGGGAATTTTACTTTTCGTAAACTTCAAACATTAATCTTCTTTAACTTGATTATTGTAAGGTCATAAAAAAATCAAAAAAAAAAAATCATCAATTAATTATTATATTCGAAAAACCGTTTTTCGCCACCTATTTGCGATATTCGAACAGTGTGCGTCGTTTCTCCGATAGTGCGGACGTACGAGAACGCGTATTTTTTAAAAACGAATTAAAAATTTTAAAGTGCGCGAACCGAGTTTATAATCCCGTTATAATATTATGTTTATAGATTAAAATGTAAAGGACTTCGCGTTGTATATTGTATACTTACCTACCTATACGAAACTTTCGGAAAACCGCTTTTCCACCGCACAAAGCGATTACATACAAAATTAAAAGAAAACACAACACGCGTCGTCGCCGTTGTAAAAACCATTAATATTCCGTTTTTCGCTGGGAATTCAAAATGCGTATATGTATAATACGAGTACAATATATGCGCAAAATGCAGTAGGTACACGAGTGTATAATAAAATATGCACCTACTGCTCGTATATATTCATATGTTTACAGATATCCGTGTTACAGAAATAATGGGTTGAAAGCGTATGCGCGGTTTCTACACTCGAATATTACAAAAAAAAAAAAAATAAAAAAACCGTATAAAACCGTACAAAACGTCAGTTACGATAAGTATACGAGAGAGAGACGGTAATATAGTCGTGATTTTTTCGGCGTAAGTTGAAATAATATAGTGAAATCGAAACCGACGACTACAGTCCGAGACGTCATCTTATGTAAAATATACACGTTGATATTCTTCAGGTTGTGCATCGTTTTATTTTAGATTATGAGTGGAGCAAAGGAGTTTATGGTTTTACAAAGATTTTTATTTTTTTATTAATTTTTTTTTCCGTGGCAACTTTTCTACCTACGATTTTGCTCCAAATTTGAATAACAGCAATGTCTTTGTAAAGAAATTTCATTGGGAAGCTATTTTAGAGAAGTCGTTTCTCTATTTTTCCCGGAGTTTTCTCAGAAAATGTGAAAAACTGGGAAAACCGAGAAAATCGGTACAACATTAAACAAATATCATTAAAAAAAAAAAAATGTATAACCTATTTAATTATTTTACTATAATATGACATATATATTGCTGACAAAACACCTTTATTAACTGAACTTCGCTCAGAATCGTTTTTTCGTAAGCAATGGTTTATATAATTGTTTACAGGTATACATTAAATTACCTATAACGGTGGCTGCATCTGTTCTCATTATCCTAGGACGTCTTTTTTAAATATTTTACCTTCAGTTGTACAGTATAAACGAATCGTCGACGTGGTACAAAATATGACCCGAGTGATTTGAAAATTTAAACCGATATTTAAATTCCAATTGTATTCAATTTTCAATCAAGAACATAACCTTTACGTGTTGAGCGGGTTTGTAAACTGGCTAAAACCGTATTCATTATATCTCGTGGACACGTGTATGTACGAGGATTGTAGGGATGAAATAAGAAAATTAGACAAGCTTTGGTCACTTTTATTTTTCGTATGCAAGATTCCGGCGAGATGACAAAGAAATGTAATACATATAATAATTAGTTTGAAAAAAAAAGAAATACGGACATATTTGGCACTCGGGTAGGCCATTGTTGTTAATGAGATGTTGGGAAGAATTAACCATTGCTAACGAAAAACGATTCTGAACTAATTTCGGTTGATAGTGATGTTTTGTCATCACTAAATAATACGTTGTATTATGGTAAAATAATTACACATTATGCATTATATATTTTCTTTAATAATATTCGTTTAATATTATTTATTATTTTACCATTTTTCCTACGTTTTTCCCGGTTTTCCACATTTATTGAAAAAACTGCTAGGAAAATCAAAAAATGACCTTCCTATTGTAAAACATGCAATACTTTCCTCGTTCTGTTCAGAATTTGAAACTTACTTTGTCACTGATGTAAAATCGACGTACGATTCGGTATCGTTTCTTCGTTCAAATAAAACGTGTATCTTTTTTTAGTAAAAAAAAGTATTTGATAATTTAATCGTTTCCGCGCTGTAGAAACGCCGAACGTTTTTTTAATTGATTATTGCGTTATTTATTGTACATTGGTGATGGTGAATTTTTTTTTTCAAACATTGTAACGAAAGGGTTGAAACCAGATGTTTTCCCTTTTTTTTTTGAATTATTATACCCGAAAAAAACACAATGGACATTCGCCGTACATACAAAAGAAGAAAAAACAGAATAATAGAAATAAATGTCAGCCTAACGATTATATTATTATTTAACCGAACTTCACTTGTTAAAAATATTCGATAAGAACGAGCGAATAATAGTAACGCGATCAAATATTAATACCATATACCGAGGTTTGTTTGTTCGGGTATTTCTTTTTTCTTTTCATTTTTTTTTTTTTATTATCTTTTCTTTACATTAGACCGGTAGTTTTCGTTTCATCACTTTTGCCGAATTGTCGTCTAAAAAATATAAACAAACCGATAATTGTTATTGTGACCATAATAATGTCTGCACACTGTAATAATATTTTATTGCAATTTTCTTTGTGTATCAGTTGTTGGTGGTTTTTTTTTTTTTGTATCTCCGAGAATTCGTTAGGTCAAAGTTCGAAAATTCGATACACCGTCGAACGTGATTGAGCGTTATAGTTTAATTGAGTTATAATCTCGATTAAACACGAGCATTTTGCAAAAAATGTAAGCGAAGTGAGGGTTGTAGTTTAAAATTAATAAAAAGTTGTATTACAATTTATCAACAAATGTTCAACCGGAAAGGTTCACCGCTCGGAATCTTACTATTTTGTAATTATCTGACGATTTATCGACATGTTCGAGATTTTTAATCTAGTCCAATTTTTCCAACTTCCCGTATACTGAACGCAGTAACGGATATCTGGGAATGACGATTGGCTGGCCGGGTACTCGATTGATCAAAACGTGTTGTATATTGTCTTAGTCACGTCTGTGCATTTGCGTACGTTATCGATATAGATTTTTTTAAACTACAGTAGGATGATTTTTGAACCACTGGAGCACGCTCGAATATTTCGAACCCGAGAGATTATGAACAGTTATTAGATGAATGCATTTCGAGAACGAGATTAACGGAGAGGGTCGAACGGGGGCTCGCAATCCCCGCGGATTTGAAATTCGCCTCGCCTCAGAACTATAGGATGCAACCGCCGACAGAACACGACGACGATTATTTTGCGTTTTGGATATTTTTCCACACGTTACGTTTCTTCCGCTTCCGAGTTTCGCATGCGTCTTCAAACGCCACCGACGGACGGTTGTTAATTTCGGCGATTTTCCATTTCGTATCTCGGACGTCTCCCTCGCCGACTGACTGTGTCGTTTCCCCGCGCGGCCAATAAACAGCAGTTTGTTCGTTTTGTTTTATCGGGCACTTAGACGATTACACTATTTGCTCCCTTTTTGTTCCGTATACGCAGCACGACAAACGTAATAATGCGTATAGGTAAGGAGCAGTCGGTATAATATTATTACTTTTATACACCCCGCGTAAGTCGTTATTATTCTCGAATAACCCGACCGGCCTATACTATAGTCGTTATACACGTATATACGAATGATCCCTACGACACCCAGAGGATTCGTTCAGTCGCGGCTATTTTTTTTTAATAATATTTAAGCGATCCCATCATCGGCGTATACCGGTGATAATTGACTACCGGTGACATTCGATCGGGGGAAAGGCGGACATTTTTTTTTCTCTGTAACTCGCTATCCGATACGAGTATTGCGCCATCGTCATTTCATCAGACCAATAACAAGCCGCTGGAATATATTATAGCCACTCGGAATAAGTTTATCGTGTTTCAACCTATCGTCTCGGCTATTTCTAGGCCATAACCTTTCATTACTGTCTGTTACTAGGTTATGTTTTGATAACATCGAGTAAAGCGTTAAATATTAGGAGGAACTCGATTTTCACGTTTAGACCGGTTTTTGTTCAGCTCGGTTTTGTGTCATTTGGGGCTACGGTCATAGATAGTCCCAATTACGATCGTTTTACTCGTCATCAAGTTGTGGTAACCGTTGAAGTTTTGTAATTATTTATGGATTTTTTTTGATATGTTTAGTTACGAAACATCGAAAACTCATTCCAATACTATTATTTTAAATCGACTCATGTGTATTATGAAATTTCTCAAGAATTTTTACCATCCAAGATTGCCAAACGATAAAACAAACTAAACTCCATCACAAAAAAAAAAAAAAAAACCTTTTTCCAAGAAACGCATTTGACTCAAATACGCAAGCAAAGATATTTTTTACCTCGAGTTTACTCAGTAATATTTTTGGGAATTGCTAAACTTTTATGTGTTTTCTTAAATTGTTAAAGTAATGCTAGGTAGGTATCGTTTCTCTTGTACTGAATCATTTTTTTTATACCGATATAAACCAAAAAATGTCTTTCTATGATGCGTCCACGTACAAATGTGGCAACCGAGTAAAATATATTTACGCGGTTCAATATCAATGCAATGTTTTTTTATATATATATACATATATATTTTAAATGCTATTATATTTCCCTCGATTACAGTGCATAGGTGTCGCGGGAACGTGAAAATAAAATAATATTTTCGTAACACAAGCGCATGTCGATATTGTGGGTCAACGCCTATGTTACGCCATTGGTTACTTATTTGTCGCACATCGACAGTGGAACACTACTTTCACGTTAATTTATGTACTCGCGTTCGCTTTGGCGTTCGTATCCGTTATTCCGTATATTTTTTTTCACCGATAAAAAACCGATGTTTGAAATCGAAAACCGTGTGTCGATATTGATAGATTATCCACGATATATCGGTTGAAAACCATATTCAATTTATTTTAGCGATTTTTTTCATATTCCAGGCAGGTTTTAAAGACATTTTAATCTGAAAATATCGTGTAAAAAACTCACTAGATATAGTTAGTGTCGTGCGTAGTGTAAGACAAGATTAAAGGATTAAACCCATTCCATTGGCTTAAAAAGACAACGACTATGAATATTGATACTTAGTAATTATTTAATCTTGAAATAATTAAAATCGTATACGTTTTGCAAAGGAAATCTCGGTTTATTGAACTAAATGGAAATTATTCGAATCGACCTTTTAAATTCTCATTTGTAAGGTTAGGTATCTAAAAAAAGATTCTCCAATGTATTATTAATGATTGTTTACTACATCCCCTCTCGTCAATGGCGTTTAGTAGGTATATCGTTTTAATTTTCGTCGCGATAGGACAGTTACCCTATGGTAGGGTAACTACAGCTATACAGTCTTGTGTAGCGGCGTTGGGCTTACAAAGGTGTACGTACGCCCAACTGAATTACGTGTATCAGATCCAATGTACTTTGTACACTATTATAGTCACATATCAAATAGAATATTTTATAATTAATAATGTATTTTCCTTCAAATAATATTCATGATTAATTTTCGATATGCAAACAAAATAAAACTGTTGAATGTGAAAATTGATTATTTTCTAGTCAGAGATTTACTAAGAAAGTCGGCGTATTGATAGGTCGGATAATTAAACATTTCACTGCACACCCAAAAATCGAGAACGATGTACGCCACTGACTCGTTGAAAATTCCTGAACACGCTACCGACTATACCGCAATTATGATATTATTCGAAATGCGAGAATTTACTGTATATTTTCACATGTACACTGAGTAATAAATTATAAAGGCAGTGTTTTTTACACGGATATCGCCGTACAAATCGGCAAACGCGACACGCCATACTTTGTGCGTCCGACACGATCGCTTCGTCGTCGTCGGACGCTCTGTACACAACACATAACCACACGGAACACTCGGCCCGTTACTACTCTCCAGGGACTAGTCTAGATACAGTATTACCTTAATTCAAACTGCAATTTAATTTATTTAACTGTGTATGATACTTGCATATGCCTACCTACCGCCCCGAGACCGTACAAATTTAATACAAATACGAATTAATCTGTCGCCATTTTTTTTTTTCAAATTGATTTTCGACTTATTCACCTCGATCCTGTCGGTTTAATACACGCGTACCCGCTGTAATATTTCGGTCATTCGCCATTTTTCATTCTTCTTCTTAATATGCTTTAAAGATTTTAGCCATCGTCACTATCTTCCTACACCGTTCTCAATTCTGGAGCGCCTCTCGCCTCTTCTTCGTTTTTATTAATCGAACGAGGTCCTCGTCGACGACATTCAGCCTTCTCTTTCAGGACCGCCCACACGATTTTCTTCGTAATGGTCTCCCATTCACGACCGCTCTCCTTGTACTGTCTTTACTATTCCGCATCACGTGTCCCAGCTATTCGATCATCATCTGTCCCCTCTCTAAACCAATGATAGCACTTGGTCAAATTTCCTCCTCCGTGTTCCTTTTTCACTATCGTAGATCGGTGCACAATATATCCTCCGTATAATTTGAACATTAATTAAAAATTGTAATCTATAACTTTCGATCAGTCGGTTTAATATAATAATGCAATGCAGGTAAGTACTTCAAAACATATCGAGCTTATGTTAAACGCTTTTACAAAATAATTTACAATTTGTCGCTTTATATACTCACGTGAAAACTCGTTTCTTTTAAAACCCGTTTATAATGATAATCATAAATTATTAATAATTAACTACGATCAGGTTACCACCGTCAATTATTACAAATTTATCTAACTTAACCCGGTCCCGCGTGTGTCGTATAATTTTCACTTGTTTAATAATATCTCGAACCATCATAAATAAATTTTAATGTTTACATTAAACGAGATATCTCGTGAAAATCGTGAATAATTATTGCGAAACATGCTCAATAGAATACTTATCATCAATTGTTTTTTTATTAACTGTTAAGTTTTAACCATTGTTTAAATCACACGTAATTAATCGCTCAGTCAATTTACATTTACATATGGTCAAGTGCGTGTAAGAGTTACGAAAAATCAACAATTTACTGTCGTGCGATTTAATGTAAAACAAAACGGATTTTCTTTTTTAGCTCATATCTTTTAAATTATTTCAAAAATACGAGTTTCTGTGACGATTCCTTTTTCTCTCTTAGTAACACTTATTCAAAATCAATAAACTAAATAGGTACCATTTTAAAGATTATGTTCCCTTCTTCTGGAGAATTTCTAATTTATAACTGTACAATCTGTTCGAAAATCAAAGTTAAAAACGTACGTTCGAATACAAATTTTTCGCGCGGGTCGACTGGTTTATATCTATTTCGTGAAAATCGACGTTAAAAACTTCAACAGCGCAACCCCGCGGCGATACCTACAATATATTGTCTACATTCAAAACTAATAAATTGTCGCGTACGCGGTTCGAATTTACAAAAGCTAAACTGCAGTTTTCCGTTCGACATCGTAACGCGCCGTTTCGTTTCTATAACCCGGATGTACGTACCGCGACATTTTTTTTTTTTTTTTTTTAAACACATTTTCGTAAAATCATTATAATATTATCGATGTTAAATAACAGGCGTGGCCGAGTCCGCGATGTTTATGCACGGATCGTTTCGAGTAAATAAAATTGTCGGTTTATGGCGGATTCCCGGTTTACTACCCGTATAATATATGTATAAATATATATAGGTGTCGAAAGTAAAAATATTAATAGAATTATCGGAAAATCGAATTAAACGCACGTGCTGTTCGGCGTAGTCACCTCTTATATACTATTATAAAATCGACGGCGCCGCGCCGGTTTAACGCGGTGTATATTGAAATTTAAAAGTGCAATATTTTCGTCGTTTTACGGTTTTTTTTTTTCTTTTTTAATATCGAATACGTTGCAATATCTTCGAACTTTCCGTTATCGGATACTATTAGAGTGTACAGTTCGTATACAATATTATAGAAAGGACTTTCCGTATAATTCAACGCGCGCAATGGGTGTGTATTAGTTTGCATTTCTTTAAAGAAATATTAATAATGTATACATGTTATTTTTTTTTTATACGCAGAGCGATTTGATATGTATGTTTCATAATGTCTTATCATATTGAACACAAATGTTCAAAACGGAGAAAATTGTATATTTACAATTAAAGGATTAGAATGAAAAAATAAATAAATTAATGAATGAGTCGCGCGGAGTATTATGATAAGTGTGCTATACGACCGGCTTCGAATTAAAAAGTCAACATTGGGTGAACCGAAATCCAAACGCAAAACGAATTTTGTTAATACGAACGTTTTCATTTTATTATTGTTATTATTATTATTATTTTTTTTAAATTTATAAACATCTAAGAGGATTCGTACTCTTTTGTTTGTTTTTACTGTCGTTTTAGTGGTCAAAACTTTTAAAATTCAAACGAGAACCTACAGTATTTTTGCGAATACAACATGAAACATAAATTTCGATCCGTATTGTATAAAAAATTTAAAATTTAAAAAAAAGACATCCTTAATACGTCTCAACAATTTTTTTTTTTTTTTTTTTATTCACTTCTGAGTACAAGTTATGTTATGATGAATTTCGTATAAATTTATCAGTCAATAATTCTGATCGGCCAAAAAAATGTAATGAATTATTCGGAGTATTCCGAGGGAATTTCGGGTCTCTTCGATTATTTTCAATCGAATTTTTACAACGCAGCAAACGTAATAAAACTGTATTTCCTACGCCACTCCTTCCCCCGTCCCACAATTATTCGAAAATCCCCAATGGACCAACCTGCGCGACGCACGAGATTTCCGGTGCAAAAAATGTTCGCGCGCGCGAATGGGAGGCGATGGGGGGAAAGCGCACGTCTTGATAAAACCGTGATGTAAACGTGATGTACGTCCTCGCCCGGCGCTCTGGATTCGAAACCGGGGAAAACGTTCCGAAACGTTCGGAAGCCCGACAACAAACGGACGGGGTCTCGTTTCCCGCGGTCAGAGCGAAACGCGAGTCAAACGAGTTGTACGCGTAAAAAAAAAAAAAAAAAGAGAAAAAAACGGTTTTTTTTCTTCGGCGTTTTTTTTGCGCTCTCGTAGCACAGTGCAAAACTTACTGCTCGACAAGCATGGCGACGCGTAAAAAATGAGACCGTACCGCGTTATTGCCGCGCGCTCTAATTGCAATACGTGCGCGCGGATTCGTTCGGTTGTGTGGGGAGGGGCGTTAATATTGTCCGCGGAATGAATAGCAGCGGCGGCAATAACGATAATTATGACGACAATATCGTACGCGTTATCGTGTCGTCGCGCGGACAGACAGCGCGGGCGTTGGTCGGGCGAAAACAGAAACCCCCCTTCCCTCCGTTTCCTCCGCCCGAACGAAATAACACGCGCGTGCCCGCCGCCGCCGTCCGTCCGTCGGTCGTCGCCCGCCGCCGCCGTCCGTCCCCGAGGCGTCGTCGCGCGCGTAACGAATCGGACGCGGCGCGGCCTCGTCGAAACGTTATAATAAAACCGCCCGTCGCCGGTTCGCGACGCGCGCCGACAGACGTACGTGTACGCGCGAAAAATGAATATTTTATTGCGCGCGGCCGTTCGTTTTGTGTGCGAGACGGTCGTCGTCGTCGCCGCCGCCGCGCGCCTGTCATATACGTACGGGGAAAAAAAAAAAAAAAACAACAACAAACCGGTAGGTGTGCACTATGATATTGGTCGGCGGGAGTATGAAAAAAAAAAAATAATAATAATAATAATTCGAATTTACCCGCTACGTTTTTTTTTTTTCCCCCGTTTTCGTTTGTATGCGTACATATTTTTTTTCTCCCCGTGCGCGCGTTTTGTTCAATTGTGGTGTTCCGCTAACGCTCGCGAACGTTCTCCGATATTTTATAGGCGACGGCGAACGGTTTTGATTTACTTCCGCTCTTGAAAAACCAGTGTTTTTGTCGTTTAATTACGGACGCGGTGGCTGGGTACCTGCGCACCGCGCTCGCCTACGCGCACCACCGCACGGGCAGTTTAATAAATTACACTTTTTTTTTTTTTATTCCCCCCCCCCCGCTTCTCACCGGTCCGTTGCGGTGACAACGCGATGTTTAAGGTTCCGGCGCGACCGTGTATTTTTAAAATCG